CAAAGACTAAATAAAAGATATTATTTTTAAAATTGCATTTATTTATGTGAATTTATGGGAATCATTTCTCTCCTTCTACCATGTATGTCCCAAAGTCACTGGGCTTAGCAGCAAGTGTTTTTACCTGCTGAAGCATCTGTTTGTTTGACTCATATTTTTATTCTATGTGTTTTATTCTATGAGTGTTTTGCCTCAGAGGCCAGAAGAGGGCATCAAATCCCCTGAAACTGGAGTTGAAGATGGCCGTGACCCATCACATGGGTGCTGGGAACCAAATCCAGGTCCTTTGGAAGAGCAGCAAGAGCTCTTAACCATGTTGAGTTCCTTATGTATTCTAGGTATTTCATCGGACAAAATTGTGATAGTGTCTGTGGCGGTTTGAATAAGATGCTCCCCCTAGATTCGTGTATTTGAAATCTTGATCACCAGAGAACGGAGCTGTTTGAAAGGATTATAAGGATTAGGAGGTGTGGCCTTGTTGGAGTGGGTGTGGCCTTGATGGAGAAGTTATGTCACTGGGGGTGGGTGTTGTGGAATATTATTACTTTAACTATGTAAAGATCTGTTACATTTGTTTATGCTGCATTTGCTTAACTATGTAAAGATGTTTTACCTTGCCTGCCTAAGGCACCTACCTGACTGATCTAATAAAAAGCTGAATGACCAATAACTAGGCAGCAGAGGGATAGGCAGGGTTCGTAGGCAGACAGAATAAGTAAGAGGAATCTAGGCTCAAGAAGAAAGAGGAGAGAGAGAACCAGGGAGAAAAAGAGAGAGATGCCTGGGACCAGACAGGCAGCTGCCAGACAGACAGACACAGAGGAAGCTGTGAAAGTAGTACACACAGACAGGAAGGGAGGGAGGGAGGAAGGAAGGGAGGGAGGGAGGGAGGAAGGAAGGAAGGAAGAAAGGAAGGAAGGAAGGAAGGAAGGGAGGGAGGAAGAGAGGAAGGAAGGGAGGAAAGAAGGGAGGGAGGAAGGAAGGAAGGGAGGGGGGAAGGAAGGAAGGAAGGAAGGGAGGAAACCCTGAGACAAGATGTGGATGAAGAGAAATCAGTTAAATTAAGTTACAAGAGCCAAGTGGACAAGCATAAGACAAGGGTGAGCATTCATAACTACAAGTAAGTCTCAGTGTCATGATTTAGGAGCTGAGCATTCATAACTGCAAGTAAGTCTCAATGCCATGATTTAGGAGCTGGTTGGTAAGCCCAAAAGAAAAATCCTGCTACAGGTGGGCTTTGAGGTTTCAAGAGCCCAAGCCAGACCCAGTCAGTGTCTCTTTCTGCTGCCTGTGGATCTGGATATAGAACTCTCAGCTCCTTCTCCAGCACCATGTCTGCCTGCATGCCACCATGCTCCCCTCCATGATGATAATGGACTAGCCTCTGACACTGTAAGCAAGCTCCAACTAAATGCTTTCTTTTGTAAGAGTTGACTTGGTCATGTGTCTCTACGCAACAACTGAACACTGGCTAAGACAGTGTCAACGTGGCAAAAGTTAGAATCACTTGGGAGATATGCCTCTGGGCATGCCTGATAGGAATTACCTTCATTTGCTAGTTCATGTGGGAAAGACCTGCCCAGTATGGGTGACACCATTCCCTAGGCAGGTGAGCCAGGCGAGCTCCAGTGTGTATGCATTCATTATTGTCTTCTTCTGACATCACATTTAATGGAATCAGCTGCTTCAGACTCCCGGTGCCTTGACCGCCCTGCTGTGATAGACTATGGCCAGGAACTGTCAGCTAAAAGAGGCCCTGTCTCCCTTAAGTTGCTTTAGTCAGCATATTTTGTCACAGCTGCAGGAAAAGAAACTAAGGTGAGCTCTTTTAATCTTGGTGAAGCCTGAGATATAGGTTGTGATTTTGGAAACTAGCCAGCACGCTCCTCAATAAAACGAACGATGCTAGTCTCACTCGGATCAAATCATTCATTTGTTCACCCATTCATTGTTTTGGGGCATCTGTGATGGGCACAAGTCCAGGTGTAAGAGACGGACACTGGAGAGAAAAGAACAAAGCTTCCCATTCTAGAGGGAAGAGAGGCACAGAGGAATGAATGGGTGATATTTTTAATACAACAAGGGAGTCCTCCGTCTCCTTGCTCTTGCTTGATGCCTAGGCTGGAAAATTCTCCGTCCTGTGTATTGCAGGATGTTCTTGGCATTATTCCCAGAGTCTGCCTACCAGATGTCAGTTGGACCCTACGTCATGAAAATCAAAACTATCTCCAGAAACTATCACTACTGCAAGTCCCCAGTGGGAGGAGGAAGGCCCAGTGTTCGAGTGAAACGTCCCGGATGAAGAAGGCGATTAGGACACGGGGCATACTGGATGGAGCTGTGGCAGTTTAAAGCAGGGCAGCAAGGAAAGGTTTCGGTGAAAATGTAACTGTTGGCCAAGACTTGAAGGAATATCCCCCGGCAAGCAAGAGCGGCAGCCTGGGTCAGGAAGCTGCCTGCTGTGTTCCAGGAGCTTCAAAAAGACCGCTAAGGCTGCAACGAGAAACTTCAGGGGAAGATACTAAAGCATGAGCGGTCGGAAGAGAACTGAGGACAGAAGGCATGAGGGGTGTTTGGGACCCTTCATCACAAGGAGACGGGGATACCCAACAGGCCAGACGGTGCTGGTTTGAATACTTGGTCACTGTGTGGCCTAGAACAGGAAGGGGCCTCTTGGGCCTCAGTCTCCTCTGATGTAAAATGCTTTGGGCCATTTCTGCATGGCTGAGGTGATGGGTTTGTGAAAGTCCTGATAACTGAGACACTATCTACAGCATAAAAAAGTGGTACCCAAGAACTTAGACAGATTCTACGGGCAGTGCTTAAGGGTTTCAGCTATGGGAAGCTGTTGGGGAATTTCAGAATTAAGTGTACGTTTACAGACGTGCCTTGTGAATCTATTGGCTTCTCAGCCCCTGGGTTGATTTACAGTGTGTGTGTGTGCCCGCCCGTGCATGTGTATAAAAGATGGTGGCAAAGGGAGATGATGCCAAGGCCAGGAGAGTATGGAGCGGGACTCATCTTATCTTGCCGAGGTGCACGAAGCTTCTGGCTGTCAGTCCCTGGCCACATCCGCTTCCCCTACCTGTCCTGGGCCCGTTAACAGGTATTGCCCACTCTACCAACATACCAGGCAGGTACACAGAGATTCCTGCATGATCAGAGCTGCAGGGAGCCTAGATAGCCCCCTCTGTCAGGCAGGAATATCAGTTTATAAAATCTGCTTAACCCTTGACCTGTAAATTTCACTCTGGTAATTTGCCAGAGGAAAAGGAGCCACATGGGATAGCTTAAAAATAAATGTGTGGGCTGGAGAGACCACTCAGAGGACAAAGGGCCTTCCACGGGAGCCTAACGACCAAATTCAATTCCTGGATCCGTGTAAAAGCTGAATTGGGTAGCGTGCATCTGTAATATCACATCCTGTGAGAGACAGGGGGGGGGGACGACAGGAGAATTGCTCACGAATTCCTGGGCTAGCCCGCCTGGAGTGTGCCGCCATGGTAACAGCAAGAGATCCGGTCTCAAAGGCAAGGTGGAATGCAAGGACCACTTCCTGAGAGCGGTCCTCTGACTCCCACATGCAAACCCAGGCACATGCACAAACACACTCACACCCAGACCCACAGCCCACACACACTCAAAACTGAAAATGTGAGGTACTTATTATAATGTACGAAATGTAAAGCCACAAACACCATGGTTACCCATGAGTAAGGATGCTGGACAATAAAATACATTGGAAAAACAGAATAAATATCACGGGAGGCACACAGAATGGCAGGGTCTAGCCGCTTGGTTATGAGAAACCACTTCTGTCTGTCCTCTTCTTATGCAAGAAAAGTGAGTTAAGACAGATACCCTTGTCTCACAGTTTTCAAAAAATTTTTATGTATTTATTTATATGCATGTGTGTACATGATGGTGTGTGTTTATGTATACTACATGCATGCAGGTGCCCACAGAAAAAGGTGTTGGATCCCCTGCAACTAGAGTTACAGGCTCTTTTGAGATACCTCATGTGTGGGCTAGGAACTGAACCAAGATCCTCTCCAGTTCCCATTTGAAGTTTTTCTTCCCTCTGTTCATCTACTCAGTATTTAAACAGTACAGAGTTATTAGATGCCTTTTGTGGTCTCATTTGAAAAAAAAAATGGTCCTCAAAGAGAATGGTGCTACGAGGAGGTGTGGACGTATCGTAGTAGGTATGATCTTGCTGGAGGAAATATGTCACTGTGGAGATGGATTTTGAGGTCCCTTATATGTTGAAGATACCACCCAGTGCCTCAGACTGCTTCCTGTTGTCTGCACGAGATGTAGGACTCTCAGATACCTCTCCAGGACCATATCTCCCTGCATGTGACTGTGCCCTACCATAATGATAATGGACTGAACCTCTGAACGATAAGCCACCACAGTCAAATGTTTCCCTTTATAAGAGTTTCCATGGCCATGGCATCTCTTCACAGCAATAGAAACCCTAATCAAGACTGTCATCGTAAAAATGGGACTAGGAAAGAAATCCGTTCCCGAGTCACATCCCAGGTACCAACAAACTCCCAGAGTAGTTACTGGGAAATGACTTGTTATTGCTGTTGATGATTTGCTCTGAGAAATCCCACAGAGCCGTCGCTAGCCTAGCGCTCAGATCATCACACAGAGAGCATAAAGATGATGGAAAAACCTTGGCTTCTCTGACAACCTCCTTGCAGATGTGAGAGAAAAGCCGTTTTGTTTTGAACGCGATATGCACCGCTTGGTTTGTTACCCTCTGGCCCTAAACAATGTCCCTCCTACCAAATGCGATGAATGTGCTGGCAGGAGGGGGAAGGGAGGAGAAAAGGGGCTCTCATAAACTCCCCATTGTCCTGCAAGGCCGTGGGCAGAAGAGCTATGGCTGGAATTAGGGGATAAGGAAGAGAGGGGTGTGGACTAAAAGGAAGACTCTCAGAGTCCACGTCCAAGGAGCTGCAACTGTGAAAACTCTGTTTTGTTCCCAGGACATAGCCGACAGCGAGGGGAGAGGACAAGAAGTTGACACTCTGAGTTATTCCGTCCCCGGGGAACCAGAGGTGCTGGGGACCAAGAGGGAGGACCCCCAAGTGGTAGAAACCACAGAGAATAGTAACACCATCATGAGCTTCTTCAAGACCCTCGTAAGTAGTGTTCTCTGTTTCTCTTCCTTAATTTCATTGCCCTGGTGTCCAAGGGTACTTGAATGTTGTGATAACAAGATTATCATCGGGGCCATGTGAATGTTCTTTCTAAGGAAACTGTTTGCCTGGCCTTCAGTGACAAAGCTTCAGAGCAGGAAACCATTATAACAACAATGGGGGGGTCTTAACTGTGGGGTATGAGCCAGGGTGTAATGGAATCCATCAGTAACTGTGTTTGGGTTGTGTTCAAATGTCAGTCTGACTTCAACAGGTAAAGTGAAGAAAAAAAAAACAATAAGATGTGTCACAGGTATTGTGTTTCAAGTAGTAATCATAGATTTGAGGGGACACCTAATGGCCTTCTGGGAGGTGACTTTTGAATGTGATCAAACTCTTGGTGGATGTGTAAGAGCTAATATATTTCAGAATAAAATACTGATTTCGTAAATTGCTTATTACCTAGAGGTGTTCATGTCTCTATTTGGTCAAAGGTACTTTTCATTTCTCAATTTTTGGTGTGATAAACTAGACCACGCCAAAGAAATGTCTCTGTGAAATAAAAGTCATGTCTCAATGAAGTACAAGTCACTCTCTAGAGATGATTTCTTTGGGGGGGTGGTGTCAAGACAGGGTTTTTCTGTGTAACAACCCTGGCTGTCCTAGATCTCACTCTGTAGACCAGGTTGGCCTCAAACTCACAGAGATCAGTCTGCCTCTGCCTCCCGAGTGCTGGCATTAAAGGTGTAAGCCACCACTACCACCCTGATAGAGTTGATTTTTAACATTTGCATTAATCTCACTCTTCAGGTTTCGCCTAACAAAACTGAAACAAAAAAGGATCCAGAAGACACGGTAGGTGCCCTGAAGTGCATATATGTCTGGGTTTACACAAAGAATTTGGTTTTGATTTGCATATGTGTCTTGAATGATGTACATATCATGAATACCACATGTTACATATGCACTATATGAATCTACTTAGAAATCTAATAGTGCTGTTAGATTGTCCTCATGGTGTTTAGGTTAAGATTGTGGTTTTGTTTGGTTGGATCCTGCAGTGCTGGGCACTAGATCCAGAGCCTCCTGCCTGGTGGACGATCCCTCTACCCACTTAGCTCCAATCCCCTGCCCTGGTTTATGGTGTGTTAATAAACATTTCAGTGTTATGCTTGAAAGGTTGCTAGCTCTGGCTAAAGAATGTCACAACACCCAGTTGCTGAATATACAATAGATACAAATTGCTAATAGCTACCCCATCATTGGCTTTTTTCATTGTGTTCTGAAAAGAAATGGAGGGAATTCATAAAAAAAAAAAGGAAGACTTCCTCTGAAGTAGGAGGCAGAAGCTGCAGCCCTGGGGGTGTGAATGCGTTTTCCATTTTCATATCGTTTGAGAAGTAGATCTCCCTGCAAAGCGATGCTGAGCTAAAATGGTTGCCATGGGACACCCATGGCCCAGGGAAACGCTAGGTGGCGTGTGGACCCTGCTGAGCCTGGAGGCTTACAGGCTAGAAGTGTAGACCACTCCCCTCCAGGTATACTTGGGATGAAACTGTCACCTTCCTGAGGGCGCTTTTCCTTCCACGTGACAGGACTGATGGCCTGTGACGGGACACGTGGTTTAAATCTCCTTCGGGAACTTTGAGACAGTTTGAGCTGGAGAGAGATAGGTGTCGGCTGGAAGTGCTTTGGCAGGGATGGGGGTGCCATGGCAGGGATGGGGGTGCCACAGACGGCTTCACCAGCCCCACTCCTCTGCTGCTTAGGTTTGAAGGAGTGACAGCAGAGCAGAGGCGGGGGAGCACCCTTTACCTCATCCCAGGGAGCTTGTGTTTGAGCTTCGGGTCAATGCTGTGGTGGCTGTGAGATCCTAACTTAAAATCTCCACGCCTGTAAAACTGGGGTGGAGGGCAGGGAATGTAACGCCTTGCAAACCGCGGAGCTCTGTTTGAATGCAGTCAACCCTGTTACCTCGATCACATAGTGGATTGACCGAGCCTTCTAGGGTTTTCTTCTCCCGCTGAAATACAGATCCCTTAAATTACTCATTTGCACAGAGGCAGCAAAGGTCAACTTCAGTGAATGGTTGGGTCAAGATGTTTGTTTCTGTGTTTTTCAATTCTTGGAGCCCCATGCTCAGCACACTGCACTGTCAACAGTGGAGGATGTGGGTGTGTTGGGTGGCTTCCCAAGTGGCCTGATTCGCTCTTTCTAGTTAGCTGGTCCATGTACCAAGACCCATCCCCAAAGCAGATGTGGTCCTCGCTGGGCATACCTTGTTGATAAAATCTCATTGAAACATCCAGTGGGCTGAGAAGTCCCTACTGGGCACTGGTGTTTCAGATCAGGGGTTATGAATATTGTTCTATATTTGTCTTTGGGGCATCTTTTTTTTCCTGAAGTTTACAAAGTACTTTTGAAAGGTCTCCATCTCTATCACACTTGACCCTGAGTCTTTTTTATATCTACTTTTATTTCCTTATTTTTATATATTTATTTTATGTGTGTGGGTGTTTTGTCTGCATTACTGTGTGTAAATGCACCACGTGCATACAGTGTCCATGGAGGTTGGAAGAGGTCATCTGATCCTCTGGAATGGGAGGTATAGGAGGTCATCAGCCGCCATGTGGGTGCTGGGAACCGAACCTGGGTCCTCTGGAAGGGCAGCCAGTGCTCTCAGCCACTGAGCCATCTCTCCAGCACGCTGGGTGATTGTTCCTGCTCTACACGCTTCCTGAAAAACTTGGGTCAACAGTTTGTAGTGATTGTAGTAGAGTTATTTTTATTCCTATCTCCTCCCATTGGCTCAATGAATTGGTTCACACCAGAAACTTCCTTTGTCTGGAAAATCTGCCCATATAGAAGTCACTCGAAACGCTGTGGGTGATATTATTTCCGTGAAGGGTCAACTTCAGATTCAAAGGAAGTTGGTGTGAGGATGGAAGTCATTTGGTGGTGACATGCAGCCCAGAAAACAAAATCAGGGCACAGAGACATCACTTGTCAACAGGTGGTTTATTGCTTTCCTTTCCCAGGCGATGGCGGTATTTACGTATTTAAAGCTGTTAGTCAAGACTCCAGTGTTGTCCTTTTGGATTTGGTTATGTTTCATTCCATGTTTTAAGTCACAAAGTCAGAGCTTACACGGCCTGTCCCCGTCTTAAGCGAACAGGAATGAGGGGGCTTGTTTTTGCTGGATTGGGGATGAGGTTCTGAGATGCATTGATTTGGGTCATTTGCATAGGTGACCCCGCTAAAAACCAATGTGTGCCTGGAATTGACTGTGAAAATACCGATTAGTGAATCATTTTTGAGAACCTTTAAAAGATAAGTATTCCCATGGTGCTTTGTGGTTGGGGGATGAGTGACATGCCGGTAATTAGCTGTCACAGTGTCTGAATATCCTTTGAAACAGAAAAGAACAAGAGGGTTTGTTTAAAAGGAAATGTCTAAGCTGTGCCTGCTGTTGTCCAGAAGGCAGCCAAGGCAGACAGTGTCTGCGATGGCCACGCTGGCCAGAAGATGGTGGAGACGCAGGCTAAGAGCAAGAAGAAACGCCTGGACAGCCCCAGGCTGGGACTGGCCTTTAGGAAGTTCTTTAGGCATAAGGTCTGTATCTCCTCTGCTAGGAGGAAAAGGGACCCCTGCTCCTCACCTCGGATGCCTGGGGTCCAGTGCCCACCAGCTCCGAGTCAGGGAATCCTGAGCCTTGGGTGGCTGTGTTCACCAAGGGGGAATTTGATGATGCTAAGGCCTGAACTCCAGGCATTTGTGTTCCCATAGCTGTAAACATTTCAGATTGGTTCCTTCCAAGTGTGGACCAGGGTTCTGAAATGCTCGCCCAGTGTTTCCCAAATGGCAGTCAATGGCATACACCTTCACTGCTTTAAATATACTATTAATCATTTAATATTTTATACTAAAATTGATTATTCCTATTTAAACGTGCCTGTACAAAAAAAAAGGCTTCAAATTCCATCATACGTGGAAACCAGAATGAGTCTTCCTAACAGAAAAATGGCCATTAATGTGGCTAATTAAAAGTGGCGCTCTTGCTCATGTCTGTAGAGCTTGGAATCCAGTGTCCTCCAGGCTTTTCTTAGCAAGGGATTGGTTAAGTGGTGGAGACTGATAAAGCCATCCCAGCAGCAGACGGGCCTGAACATTATTAAATGACTCAGGAGTTAGAGAAGGGAAAGTATGAAAGTATGCTATTTGAGTTTGGCTTTGTATCCTAATTGTAAAGTTGTGGTGTGCCACAGACTCCTTGGGAAATCCTCTTCTAACCTCAAGATAATAATATTACCTTGCTGCCACCTGCCTTCCCTGTTCCCTCTGTTGACTGAGTTTATACGGAGCCCACATAGATGCCAAGCAGAAGAAAAGCAGTGAATGATGGCAGAGCCAATCAGAGTGCATGGCACAGCCAATCACAGTGCATGGCAGAGCCAATCCCAATGGATGACATGAGCTCAGCTTTGGAGACAGACTCTTGTGCATGAAGACACAGTGCACATCCAAAACTACCAATTCCAATGTGGCTTGGACATAGATGAGACCTCAAAACCTATCCCCATAGAGACATACTTCCTCCAACAAGGCCACTCCAACAAAGCTTTATTCAGTGACAACACTACATACCCGAGGCCAGGCATTGCTTTGAAGGGTTTGGCCAACACCCATCATCTCAGTGAGGCAGCTTCAGGGTTTTTTTTTGTCTGTCTGTCTGTCTGTCTGTCTGTTTGTTTTAATAAGAAGCCAGCCAATGGGCTCTTATACTTTTCACATAGCCATTGCTTTGGGTTCTTGTTCTGGTTCTTGTTTGTGCCTTACTAAGAACTCCTGTGTCCCACATCCAGAAATAAAACTTATTAAGACAATAGTCCCCGGAACTGTTATAATCCCATGGGTAGGGTCACCAGGTAGAGTAGAGCATGAACACTAAAATTCAGACTTCAGATACACAACAAATAATTGTATGTTGTCTAGAAATCCATTCTTTGTATAGTAAATTATTAAGAAAAAGACGTCATTCATTTTAGTATAAATTTAAGTATGTTTCTTGCAATATTTGGGACATACTTATGCTAGAAAATTATTATTTGCTAATTTGAAATTCAAACTTAATGGGACATTCCTGTTTTAAAAATTACATGTCCGTGTGTGTGTACACATGTGAGAGCAGGTGCCTGGGGAGTCCAGAAAGGGGGCATCGGTCCCCTGGAGCTGGAGTTACAGGTGGTTCTGAGCTCCCTCTTATGGATGCCCAGAGCCAAATTTCGATCCTTTGCAAAAGCAGGATGCTCCCCTAACCACTGAGCCACCCTTCCTACATCGTCATTTTCCGTTGCAGTCTGGTAACCCTCTAGAGTAGCTTGCCTCTGAGTCAGACTACAGCATCCAGAGAAAGGATATGAAATTATCTAACGGGGGAGGGGTGCAGAGCGCCATTTGTGGGCTTTCTCTGGGAAGTGAGACGGTGGCCTGGCAGGGAGTAGAAATGCAGGGGCAGCTTTGCTGGGATTCTGCCCCAGGAGTCGACTGAGGGGATGGAAGCCGCCCATGGCAGGATCTGGTCCTGCCTCCCCTCTCACACTCTCTCTCCATCCCGTCTCAGTTTAGGGGTTAGCCGGATCGCTGGCCCCAGTTTCCTTATCTGAAAATGTAAACGTTGGCTTGCAGGACTCAGGTCATCGACAGTGCCTTGGTGCACACCTGCCATCCCAGAACTCTGGAGGCCGGGGAGGGCAATTAACAGACTGTAGCCCAGTCAGCGCTATTATCAAAGACCTTTTAAAGCAACCCAACAACCAAAAAGAACCAAGAACCAAAAATATTTTATATTAATATATTTTGGTCCATTTTTATTGTCAGGTAGATTTTTTTCCGTTTGGTCAGAGATCATCATCTGAGAATTTAAAGGGATTGATTTGTCATTGCATCCAGAGAGCAAAGGAAAGAAAACGAAGATGCTTAAGATAACAAAATCGGGTTGGAAGAGCCTGATGCTAAAACTTGAATGTCAGTATTCACTCGTGCCTAGGTGAATTTGGACTTTGTGAGTCTTTATCCAGTGGCTGGGGGAAAGCAGACTAGGAATTGACAGGGATTCACCGAAGGAGTAAATGATGCATTACAGGAAGTGAGTTGCTGCTTAGCTGTGCTCCCAGCACTTGGGCGAGAGGGGGGTGTGTGGGGGAAGAGTGTTAGAAGCAAGATGATCAAGGTCGTCCTCAGCTGCTTAGATTGCTGAGGCCAGCCTGGGCTACATGAGGCCCTTTGGGGGTGGGGAAAGAGAAAGAAAAATAGAGAGGAAAGGAAGGAGAAAAGAAAGGAAACGGTGAGAAACGGGTAAGAAACATCAGACACTTTGGAAGTGGACTTCAGCCCAGCCTGTGGGGGCAGTGAGACGGGGTAGGGTGGGGGTACAGGAAGGAAGGGGGTGGGGGGCAGGAGCAGATGGTTATGTTGGAAGAGGTCATGTGTGGGGTGTGGAGGTTGTCTAGAGTGTAGGAGTGGGGTCTTTGGGATTCCATCAGCACGTACCCTGCTCTCTGCCTTCTCCATGGCCTGGATCTCCAAAGCAGGGTGTGGGAGAAGAATTTCAGAACTCCTGTGGCCTTCATATTTATCTCTACCCTTCCTTAATTTCCAATTTGGCTTGGTAAAATAAATAAATGCAAGCCATTGTGCATATTCAGAATATTTCCATGGATGGGAGCCTGGTCAAAAGTATTTAAAGACAAAGGGCCTGGATAAAGCAAAAACAAAGCCAGGTGGTGATGGCGCCTGCCTTTAATCCCAGCACTAGGGAGGCAGAGGCAGGCAGATCTCTGTAAGTTCAAGACCAGCCTGGTCTACAAGAGTTAGTTCCAGGACAGCCTCCAAAGCCACCAAGAAACCAACCCCCCCCCGAAAAAACAAACAAAATCCAACATCTTGACATCTTTTTCTGTCTTCTGTTTTTCGTTCCTTTCTTCTTTTTTACACTGATTGATTTTGTGTGGGTGTGCATGAGCTCAAGCAAGCATGTATGTATACATATGTGAGCACATACATGTAGACACATGTGCAGGTCAGAGAACAACTTGCAGGAGTCAGTTCTCTCCTTCCACTATGTGGGCTTCAGGGATTGAACTCAGGTCATCAGACTTAGAGGCAAGCCCCTTTACCCACTGAGCCAAGAGCCAGCCCAGAACTCCACCTTCTAATAACTTAACCCCTCTCCCTGAAGCCCACCCCCACATAGTTACACATGTAACCATCATTACTAACAAGTCTCCCCCTTTTTTCCTTTCCCAAAAGGAAAATATCTGGAAAATTATATATATACATATGTATATATATGTGTATGTGTGTGTGTATACACATACAAAGTTACGTTCACAGTGGAAATTTGCATAAAGCAAAAAATTAGAAAGAAAAAAGTTAACCTCATGCATGACCCTAGCCCATGCTTATTTTAACAGAGAATCTTTTACTCTTGAAGCCGTGAAATTATTTTGAATTTTTCACTTTTCTTTTTACAAACAAAACTTTATAGGATGCTGAAAATTCACCGGCTACTTCAGCCAGTCTCAAGTCAGACCAAGCCAACTTCACCGCCCAGGAGACCCCAGGGGCCACCAAGAGCTCAAAAGGCTGCAGCCCACCAAGTCATGTGCCACCCGCAACAGCCAGTGACACAGGAAAAGAAGGAGGCAAGGAGAAGTCTGGGCCCACCTCCTTGCCTCTGGGAAAGCTGTTTTGGAAGAAGGTAAGTCTGGCTGTGAGGCTTCCTCAAAACCCCTGCCGCCAGACAGGCTGTGTGAAACAGTGGCTCAGGCCCTGTCGGTGTCACGCTTTGTCGAGAATCCAGCTGGACCTCCGAGCCACTTTCTGGTTTGTTTCTTGTTGTACAGAAAGTTTTTCTTCTAGACTTTTCCCAGGACATTGATTCCAACCATTCATGCACACATTGGAACATGTTAACTGATACTATTTTAATTCTCTTTCTGCCTGCATACTAATTTAGAAGTCTTTTGCCAGCAGTTCAGTATAGGAAACAATTTCCAAATGATTTCTGTGCACATACAGGTGGTACAGGAGATAACTTTGGTGACCCATATTTGAATAGTCACATGTAAAGAATGCTTATTTGTGAATATGTATGAGACTTACATGTATTATTTATACATATATATATATATTTGTCATCTATATAGCTATATACCATATATACAAGTACATATGGTTGTTATACATATACTCAGCCAGGCTTGGTGGTGCATGCCTTTAATCCCCACTATTCATGAGGTAGAGGCAAGAGGATCTCTGTCATTTGGAGACCAGCCTGGTCTATATAGCAAGTCCAGGACAGCAGGACCAAATAGAGACACATGGTCTCAAAAAAAAAAAAAGAGTTGTACATATCTTCAAAGAATATTAACATATGAAACTTGAGATCAATAGATTTTTGCAGGCTGGAGAGATGGCTCAGTGGTTCAGAGCAAGTACTGCTCTTGTGGAGAACCCAGGTTCAGTTCCAGGGTCCCTATGGGGGCTCACAACTGCCTACAACTCCAACTCCAGGGGACCTGACACCTCTGGCTTCTGTGGATGTGTGCGAGACACACACACACACACACACACACACGAATGCACGCATGCATGCACGCACACAAACCCTTTTTGAAAGCAGATTTATTGCTCAAGGTGAGGCAAAGTGCATTGAGCTTAGAAAGGAATCCGGTGAGAAAAGTGGTCCTGGTGCGATGGCGAATTCGGATTCTCCAGGACGCACACACCAAACAGAAGTGATGCAGGATTGGTTATGGGGGAAGTTCCTGTGAACCGCAAGGAGTGGAGACCGGAAACCAGTGCTGAGGCCACGGTGTCGGGTGTGTGAGGGGGACAGAGACAGAAAAACAGACACAGAGAGACAGACAGACAGAGAGAGGCAGACAGACAGAGAAAGGCAGACAGACAGAGGCAGACAGACAGACACACAGACAGACACAGAGAGACAGACAGAGAGACAGAGGCAGACAGACAGACACAGAGAGACAGACAGAGGCAGGCAGACAGACAGACAGTCACAGAGGCAAATAGACAGACAGAGAGACAGACAGGCAGAGGCAAACAGACAGATAGACAGAGGAAGACAGACAAACGAGAAGAAAGGAAGAAGGGCTTGGTCTGCAGCTGGTGCCGGCAGAGGCAGAGGCAGAGGCAGAGGAGGGAGAGGCAGAGGTGCTACAGCAGATTGCTCATGGTAAGAATCCCACGCTGGACAGGAAAACATGACCTAGGACTCCTTCATGCTCTGCCAGTGACAGAGTCATCAGTGAAAGCACAGTAGCATGCTTAAGGTGTGACAGGTGGAATCTGCCCCGCAGTAAGTCTGACCCACCTCCAAGACATCTCGTGCTGAGCCATCTGGGCTGTTTGACTCGCTGACCGGCTTTCCTGTCTCTGTGTGGAAACTAGGTAAAGAAGCCCGAGAAAGAGTAGACTCTCCCAGAAAACTAGAGACGATGTTCAGGATTTGTGGAAAGGGTTGACTTTCTGTGATGTCTTGTGACATGTGATATCTATGAGCTCAGACCAGTTGTCATCACATGATCAAAATGGGCCATCTCCTGTCTTAAAGAAAAAAATCTCTTTCAAGAGCTGAAACAAGAGAGCCCTTGTAGATGGAGCTGACATGGCTAAGTTACATGCTGCGTAGCTCTTTATATGGTTTTTCATGCTTTCATTAGAGCCTGAGAATTCCGTGCGATGTGTTTGGTAGTGCTCATCTCTCCCCTCGCTCCTCCCCAGTTCACTCGTCCCCGCTCACCCAGTATGTCCTCTTTTTTTTTTTCAACTTCACCCATCAAGTCTAATTTGTGCAGCCCATTTATTCTTGGGTATGTGGCCTCCCACTAGGGTGTGGCCAACTTGCCAGGGGCTACTCTTGTAAAGACAACCAACTCTCGCTCTCCCAGCAGCTGTCAGTTACCAATAGTACCCGGTCTAGGGGTGGGACTTCCTGTCCACCTCCCCTGCCCATGCTGGAACTTGGCCTGGCTTGTCGCTCCTTGCTCTTAGCAACATACAAATCTTGAATAGGATCCTGTCGGTGTGTTTATCAGGGTTTATTGTTGTTAACGGGACCAGGCTATTCTTTGATACACCAGTTAAGAGCCAAGTGCTTCTGGAGGAGGCAAGCATGACTCTGTTCTTGAGGTTTGAAAGATTCTCTCATACTGGACATTCCAGATGACAAAGAGATCAGACAACTGAAAAACACTCATGTTATTAAAATTATTAGTTAAAAAAGAAGTCATTTTAGTATACGTTAAGTGTGTTCCATGGAATACTTGAGACATACTTATGCTAGTAAAGTTAGTATTTGCTGATCTGAAATTCAAATTCAATGGGCCATTAAATCACTAGGCTGCTGCTCCCTCTCAGGGAGCCTCTGGGGTCTGGTCTCGGTCCTGCTTATTCCATCTTCAGTCTGAATGCCTAAGCACCTCCTTCCAAACGCTGCACACTCTTCCTTTGCTTCCAAGTGAGCCTCTTTCTCGGCCACTCTGTCCAGGGTTCCTTCTCGCCTCTGCGGTGCCCTCGCGGAACACATTCCCAGGCTGGGTAATCAAGTCTTCTCTGCCCTTGTTCACGTGTTCTCTGACACATCTCCTCACTGGCTGTGGAAGGTAGCAAACTGCCACCTGGTGCTCCCGGTCTCTCAGCCATAGACTTCTCCTAAGGATAGAGAAGGTGGGCAGGCGGCTGCCTAAGACTTTCATCTGCCCCTGTGCACCGAGCTGGGAAACCAGGCCATGGGCAAATACAGATCTAGACAAGATCTAGACTGGCTTCATCATGGGCAATGCCAGGCTTTCAGAGAAGAGCAAGGCATGCCCCACCCCTGCGTAGAAAGACCCGGCGTTTACACAGCAGCAAAGCTCACAAATGACGATGCCAATGCTCGGAAGTGACAAATGACGTAGGACAAGAGGAAGCGCTTAACAGCCTGACAGGCAGCCCTGTGGTGTGAGCTGTTAGCACAATTCGGATCTTTTATCAGTGTAGGTCTTGCTTATTTTGAGCTCCGTGACTGCATCTGATATGTTTGAACACAGTGGGAGAGTGCAAACTACCCCACATGGCTGCTCTCTTCAGGGAAGCCTCTGGAATCCAGTCTGAGTCTTGTTTTATTTACCAGTGTGCAATGACGTAAAAGCACACTCATCGAGCTCACCAGCTGGGTGAGTTCATTAATGCAGTCTCAGCAGCGGACTGTAAAGGCTTCAAGAAACGGGCACGACGAGCTGAGGTTGATCTGACCTAGAACTCTCTTTTGCCAAAGTCAGTGTACCCCGTAACTACACAGAGTGAGCCTCACAACATACCCTGCCTCCCCCGTTCCAACTTTGGAGCCAGTGCAATTGAAGCAGTGTTTACAATGTCTCTTTGTTACTAGACTTTTTAGGGTCAGAGCCTGGGTCCTGGTAACTCTTAAAAGCTAGGCTCAGCCACTCATGCTCAGTCTACCAATTATGAGAAAGGGGGGTAGGAACTTAATGTGGCCACATTTGGAAAAGGAACAAATAAAGAGGTTCACTGACCTCCAGCTCTACCCAAACCTGACTTGAGGTTTATGGTTGAATAGAGAGAAGACGGTATGCACAGCTAAACTGTCTTGCTCAAGATGTGGTCCTGCCCATCATGAGCTCATCGCTGCATTAAATACTTCACCATATGCAAATGAACTGCATCACTCACCTTGAACTAATTATATAAACAAATCCATGTCCCACCCCCACTTGGCCTGTCTGTGTGGCTCTAGGAAGCTAAGACAGGTGATTATAAATTGTTCTTGGCTTCCGTATGTCTCTAGGATCAACCCAAACCACAGAACTGTCACCGAAGTCATTGAAAGGGAGACCCAGGCCGTTCACTCCGCCTGTCCCAACTCTTGGACTCCACATAGTTCATCTTCCACTTGCAATGTCCCAGGGAGAAAGCTGCCGACCTGGATTGGCTCTCTGAGGCAGAATCCAAGGTCACGTCTTGGGCTCCTGGGTGAATCATTTAATATGGTTTATCCTCAGCACCCACAAAGTCTCTTCTCTCCATAGAACATAGGCAGTTTAAGGGCAGCTGAGCTGGTCCGAGTCGACCTACCAGCCACCAGCAGGCAGTGTAGAGCCAGGACACTGACTGCAGAGGCAGCAGACTCCGCAGGAGTCTTATTCCCGCCCATCCGTCATTCTGCCAAGTGAGAAACGCAGCCTGCTGGTGGCTGGTAGGTCGACTGGGACCAGCTCAGCTTTGCTTTCCATACCCCAGTTTCTCCAAGAGTCTACGGACAACTGGACCTAACTACAGACTTTATTCCACTTGTTTCCTCCACCTGTGTCCACCTTCCAGGCTCCCCCCAAAACAGGGGTCTTCCTAGGATTAGCCAGAGGAACCCTGGGGACAGTAGCCTAGGCACCAGCTTCAGTGAGCTCAGCTCTGCTTCAGTCCCATCTCCCAGCCCACGCTTTATCTTACAAATTCCTCGAAACACCACCGTGCTTGCCACACAACCTTGGGGTGCATGAACTTGAGCAAGGTTGCATAGCCGAACACTAAACCTGAGCCTGCCTCCGCCGTCACAATGTCCAGGACTCAGGTTCTGGGTGGATTTTCTCTTACACTGGATGTGAAAGGGTGACTGGGGCTGGCCTCTTGGCCTTTCTGAATCTTTGTTAACTGGATGTTTCAGCGGCTCGTTGTTGGGAGGCTTCACCTACAGGCAAGTTTGTTAACATCTACAAAGTTCAGATTTGATGGTTCTTGGGTACAGTCCTAAAAACAATTAACATTACACGGTGCATGGCTAGTTCTCTTTTCCATTTCAATCTACCCCTTCGGGTGACAGTAGGAGGAAATCTCTTCTTGGTTAATAGGATTTTTTTTACTGTGTCACCACTTTAGTATAAAAAGCAAAACAAACAGAAAATCCATATATACATGAACCTAGGCAAGCAAGTACTCTACCACTGAACTGCTGAATGTCCCCACTCCCTCCTCCACCCCTCCCCCACCGACTGTTTTTACATTTGAGTCAGGGTCTTGACTAAGTTGCTCTTGACACTAAAAACACAGCTCTCATGTCAAAGGGAGTAAGAGTTTACTCTGAAGTTAATTATTATTGGTGGCCATGGCTCAGAAACACAGATTCAGACTGAATCCCAACGGTAACAGTTTCATGAAGTTTTCATCTTAACAGAACAGAGAAAGTCATAAGTCACCAAGCCTCTGAAGTACATTGGTGGAAACACGGGGTTCCAGAGGAGCTGAGTGAGGGCCTCAGATGGTCTCTTGACATCCTTCCCTTTGAGGTTGGGGCAGGAGACAGGAGTCAGTTTGCATGGACCACAACAGCCAGCTAGATGTGAGCACAAACTACATTCAGACTTGAGAGCTTTGTTCCCTTTCTTTGCTTTCATCTGTGCTGCTGTTGACACACAAAGATGCTGGTAGCCCACTGTCTGACTGACCTAAGCAAGACTGTAGTCGGTTTAGAGAAACATGGAAAGTGAATTCACGTAGCACAAGACAGTCTTGAAATCAAAGGCACTGTGGACATTGCTCAACTACGAGGGATGCTCATGAACTCTCAAAATAAGAAGTTTAAGTAGATGACTCAGTGGGTGAAGAAGGTGCTTGCAGCCAAGCCTGATGACCTGAGTTCTATCCCTGGGACTCACACGATAAACGGAGAGAAAGTTGATCTCTGACCTCCCTACGCATGCTGTAGCACACACAGAGACACAAATAAAACACTTTAAAAGTCTGTGGGGGAGTGTTTGTCTGAGTAGTATGGTTTTAAAAGTGTAACACAGCGATCTCAGACTGGCCATGAACCCACCAGGTAGCTGATCTTACCTTTCCCTTCTACCTCCCAAGTGCTGGGATCTTACGGGCATGTGACACCATGCTGGTTCATGTGGCCCTGAGGACCGAACTCGGGTCTGTGCATGCTAAGCAGGCATGCTATCAACTGAGCTACTCCCCAAACCCCACAGCAGGCAGAAGGGTCTGGGAATCTAAAGCCACAGTGAAGATCAAAGAACACTCTGGTGTTCAGAATGAATCCCTTCTATCCCCGTCTGTCACCTACACCAAGCTGACAGTGCCTTCTGGAACAGTGAGCAACAGACAAGCTAGGAACTTTACAGACAGGAACATCCAAATAAGACTGGTCTCTTTACAGAGAGCTGGGAAAGGAAAGAGGCCGGAAACCCTGTGAGCTGTGCTTTTAAATTGTGTGTGTGTGTGTGTGTGTGTGTGTGTGTGTGTGTGTGTGTGTGTGTGTGTGTGTAGGGGTGGGTGTTCCTCAACCTAACATAAACAGTATTGTGATTCCTGAAGCTATTGTGGGTTGGGCTTGAGGATGTCTGGTTTTTAAAAGTATTCCTTGAGTCTTTTTGTTTGTTTATTTTTGTTTTTCGAGACAGAGTTTCTCTGTGTAGTTTTGGAGCCTTTCCTGGAAGTCATTCTGTAGACCAGACTGGCCTCAAACTCACAGAAATCTGCCTGCCTCTTCCTCCCAAGTGTTGGAATTAAAGGCGTGCACCACCCCTACCCAGCAATCCCTTGAGTATTTACCTGTGTGTAATATTGAATAGCTTCCCAGTGGCCTAGAAAGAGTGGTTGGCTCTGTCTTACTTTTCTATTGCTGTGGTAAAACACTATGACCAAAAGCAATCTGGGGTTGAAAGAGTTTGTTTTAGTTTACAACTGTTGGGTCACAGTCTATCATCATCGAGGAAAGTCAGGGCAATAACTCAAGGTAGGAACCTGGAGGCAGGAGCTGATGCAGACGCCATGGAGGGTGCTGCTTACTGGCTTGCCCCCCATGGCTTGCTAAGTGCATGCTCTTATACAATCCTGGACCTCCTGCCCAGAAGTGGCACCACCCATAGAGGCCTGGGCCCTACCACATTGATCACTAATCAAGACAGTATTCCACAGATTTGCCTACAGGCCAAGGTTATGGAGGCATTTTCCCAGTTAAAAATCCCCTCTTCCCAGATATGTCTAGCTTTTTGCCAAGTTGACGAACCCCAGGCAGCACACACCCCAGGAAAGCAGTAGTCCTTATAAATTGTTTTGAGGGTGGCATCATTTCCTCATCAACAGAAGCTTTCAGAAATGTTGGGGTTCTTCTGTGCCCAGGATGTCATCCATATGGAAATAACATGAGCAGAAAGAAACAGTCCAAGTCAATGATCCTAGCTAGGAAGACAGTCACCAAACTGGGACTTGCTTTCAGAACAGTATGCTCCACTCTCTAGCTACATAACCTGAGCAAGTGACTTGACCTGCCTGTGTTGTTTCTTACACTATAAATGGTGGTCATATACTTGATGTTTGAGACATATTAAAGGCAATAAGGCATAGCAGGGACCTGAGAGACAGATGTGTAAATATCCCATCTCTTCTTGTCGCTGTTACTAAGCAGTACTAAAATGGGTCTAGGGAAGTGGTTTTAACCTGGAATCCAAGAAAAAGACACAGAAGGTCTGTGAGTATCCTGGTATCATTTGCAAAGTATTTTGCTTCTAGGCAATTCTCAAGGCAGTGAGTATCCACAAGTACCCACGCACCAAGGCTGAAGAACCACTGAAGGAAAGCTGTCAAGATGGCCTCCAGAGTCAGAGCCAACCGACAGAGTGTAGCATTAACCTTTGGAAGATTTGGGATGCCCCCTCTCCTCTTTAGGACAGGACTATAGAGCCAGGTGACTCCGGGGGGGGGGGATAAAACAGTATCTGGATTAGAATGTGTGGAACCCCAAGCCCTGGCCTTTTGTGGATTACTCTACTCAGGTTGAGCTTGAGCAAGACAGAGTTGGCTCAGACTGAGGGCTAGTATAGGGAGCAGCCCAAGGCCTACAGTCAGATAAGGATGGGGATCCTCTTGTGAAGTGGGGGTGTCTGCTTGCTCCATAAAGACCTGGGAAGATGGATCTCTCTGTTCTCTTATAGAATTTCCCTAAGAAGTTACCTGTTTTTGCCTAACAGTAGCTGTATGTTGAAGGACTATATTTCCCTCTTGGCCTAAGAATGTAGCTCAGCTGGTAGAATGTTTGCCCAACATGCAGGAAGCCCCGGGTTTGTTCCCCAGAACCACATAAGTGAGTATAGTAATGCATGAGGTAGTGCCCACTTGGAACCACAGTCCTGAGAAAGTGGAGGCAGGAGGATCAGAAATTCAGAGTCGTCTTTGACTACAGAGTTAATTCAAAGCTAGCCTGAAATGTATGGCATCCAACAACAACAATATTAATAGTAATAACTAAGCCGGGCGTTGGTGGCGCACGCCTTTAATCCCAACACTCTGGAGGCAGAAACAGGTGGATCTCTGTGAATTTGAGACCAGCCTGGTCTATAAGAGCTAGTTCCAGGACAGCCTCTAAAGCCACAGAGAAAACCTGTCTTGAAAAAAAGAAAACAACAAAATAACAATAATAAGTAATGTTACATATTATCATATAGTTATTATTATTGTTCTGCTTTTATTGGCTACTAGAAAATGTGAAGCAGATATGTTCTTTCCCACAGCCACAACTCTGTGGCTTGTGTTTTCTATGACAACCATTCCTCTTCCGTGTATACTATATCTGTGATACTGTGTTTATTCTTTGCTCATTGCATTTTGAAATATACAACTTGTATTATCTTGCTATATGTTTGCCTTTGTGGAAGCCTTCCATCAAAAGCTTGATTGAACAAGGTCCACACTAACAATTCAGTATCTGAGAACTACCTTATTGAACTGGTAGACCAGATAACCCTTTGCCTTCACGTGACTTATTTTGGCAACATCTTGACTCTTGCTTTTGTTTTTATCTTCCTCTAGTCAGTTAAAGAGGATTCACTCTCCACAGGTGCAGAGGAGAATGTAAGTGACTCAGTGCCATCTTAAATCACTCCACTGTCATCTTTGGTGTGCCGGGCCATTGGGCATTCAGCTTGGGGATCACTTGTTTTGCATGTCCTGTATTATACATCCACTGTAGACTCTTTCATCCCTTCTCATGATCAGGGACCAAGATGGGGGACCAACATTGGATCAATTCTTTGTCATTCCCATTGAATCTATGCGAAAGTAGATCTAAAATCAGAGCATCCCCTTTTCTAGGTTGTCATCCTTTAGGGGCTGAACGAGTCTACGGCATGTAGCAATGACTTTGCACATCCTTAAGGGATGGGGTTGCATCTTCCGCTTCATTCTGCTTTGATTGCTCCTTCACCTTCGTTTCCATGGTTATCCAGATTCTCACTAACTCTGGGTGGTACTCAGGTCCAACCATTTGTGTCATGGATGAGAATGACTTGCAGCAATAATCTAGACTGTTTCCACTAGAGAGCTGACCCAGGGGTCTGCACCTGGTAGACTGATGGCCAGATATTTCTGGACTTTAATATTTTAGAGATAACCAAAAAATTTAAAACAGTTCATTCATGTCCAATGGGATGGTGTTGCATGAGATCTCTGTCTCTGTCTCTCTGTCTATCTGTCTGTCTGTCTCTCACTCTCTCTCATACACACACACACACACACACACACACACACACACACACACAATGTATCTTTTGAAAATCTTATCCTAAGAGATCAATAAAGGGAGCCTTGGTAGCTTCAGGCCAAAGACAGCAGCTCATCATGCTCATGCTGAAAGCGGTGCAGACTTTGGACATTTTTGTGATAGGGATAAGTGAATGCACAGCTTCTTAAAATGACAAAAGGATGCCATCACTTTGCCAAAGCAAAATGTGCTGGCATCCTCTGGAGTCTCTTGTTCACTTACCATGAACGGTGTGGATGCTTTCATTTTTCTTTAGTTATTGGAGCCAAATAGATGTTGGAAATTCAAACATTAGCTAGTCATGATAGCAGGTGAACACTGGAATAGCTGTGTATGACTCCTTTTTTTTTTGACCACATGGCTATATGATTCCTTTTATATATTTTATTTTCGTTGGCATATAATCACTTCACATGGTATTGAATTACATAAGGGCATTTTCATACAAGTATATGGTATACTCTGAGTGTGTTACCCCCATCCTCCTGTCCCTCCTCTTTCTTCTCATTCCCCTGTCCAGTTAGTTCCCATTGTTCCTTTGGATGTGTTATTATTCTTATTAGGAGAAAAATCCTGACAATCTTTTGGTTTTGCTATTTATTGCTCCCTCCATTCCTTCATACATTCTTTTGTCCATTCATTCACTCTGTCTTTTGTTGTATCCTTGCTTCTTTTCTTTCTTGAGTCAAAGTTAATAGCTCAGCAAAGCTCAGGCCTCTCTTGATTCTAGAAAGTTCTTGTGAATTTACCTGGTGTTTTCTACAAACCCAGAATCTTCTCTCCAGTCAACCTGAAAAGCTCAAGTAGGCTTGGAGATTCTGAGTTCTCTGAAGAGAAACTTTTTGGCAGAGAAAAAATTTAGTGTTTCCATTCATTTTAGAATCCATGTATTCACTGCAGCTCAGTGTTAAAATATGGAATTGATCTGAAACAGCCAAGAGCATTTCACTTTGTACCATATGCTTAAAACAGGAATATGGCTGAATTAATAGATATATTCCTAATATCAAAAGGTAACACAAAGCTAGCAGGAATGTGAAGGAAAGTAAGACATTTCTAACGAAATGAAGTAATGTTTTATACATTGCATTTTTTTCTTTCTTAGCCCTCCCTATACCTTACATTTCCAATTCTAAGACTCCACATTTATCTTCTAGCTTCCCATAACTTGCAGAAAATGGAGCTAAACAGCTATGATGTGGGCACCATTACCTCCAGGTCACATTTCCCCTGAACCTGTTTACTTATCTGTTACATGGGGATGTTGATGGAACCAGTTTGTGGCTCCGGTGAGAATTAAATGAGGTGGTAATTTGGGCATTAGTAAACTACAGTTCACAGACCAAATTCAGTCCACCACCTTTTTAAATCTGACCCACAAGTTAAAAGTGGTTTTCTGTATATTTAAATGGCTGCAAACAAATGGAAGAAAAATAATATCATGACATATAGAAATCACATAAATTCAAATGTCAGTGTTGACAAAGTTTTATTAGAACCGGGTCACATATCCCTTTTTGCATTGTCTCTGGGTGTTTGCCCAATGGACCAAGACAGGCAATAGCTTTTGCAGGGAAAGCTGGATGCCCCCAGTAGCAGGTGAGTGGCGGGTAGCATAGTGAATCCTGGTCCTACCATGAGTGTGCTGGTTCAAAGGGAAATTATGCTTTCCCCCGTGACTAGGCATCCAGGTGGAGTGAAGGAGTATGTAAAATAGAAGTTCACTTTATTTCTTCCTCCCTGGAGAAGCAACAGTGTTAATCACTGCAGTGTCCAGTACCCTAAACCCTTGCTGTAGGACAGCTAGAAGCCACTAACCTTGTCACAATGGCCTTGCCACTAGTGACATCTGGAGGAATGTGGATGAACTGCCTTGTCTTGTCTAATTTCTCTACCCACACCTTTTCAAAAAACTATCTGACAGCCAATACACAGCCCACTGTGATTCCCTGAGCTAAAGGCAGGAGTGACATCAACGTCGAGTTTTCATGAAAAGCAAAACAGGGCCTTTGAGACCATGAAAGTTTAGACCATCTTCTAAAATTTACCATTTTATATATTTATCCTCATTTGTAAATGGGGATTATGTTACCTTTGTACCTATGTCCCAAGGTCATATATAAGAAGTACATTGTAGGGGGCTGGAGAGATGGCTCAGAGGTTAAGAGCATTGGCTGTTCTTCCAGAGGTCCTGAGTTCAATTCCCAGCACCACATGGTGGCTCACAGCCATCTGTAATGAGATCTGAGGCCTTCTTCTGGCCTGTGGGCATACAGACAGATGCTGTATACATAATAAATAAACAAAAAAAAGATAAGTCAAAAAAAGTACATTGTACAATAGACATAGAAAGAAGTCGTAACTGATATAAACATCTAAATGGACCCTGTAAGACACTGGATGCTCCAGGTCATTCGTGGTTTAATGTTAACACCAGTAAGAACCAGTAACATTAGCTAAATGTTATGGTGCCTGGCACAGTAAGAACTTGACGTGTGTTGCCTGATTGTTACTAATCTGCCTTAGTCACTATCTTATTGCCATGACAAAATGCCATGACCAAGGCAACTTACAAAAGAAAGCATTTAGTCAGGGGCTGGTTTATCATTTCAGTGGATTAGTACATTACCGTCATGGTAGGAAGCATGGCAACAGGCAGGCAGGCATGGTGGTGGGACTTAGCCAAGAATTCACATCTGATCCACACTCTGGAGACACAGAAAGAGAGCCTCACAGCCCACCCCCAGTGACACACCTCCTCCAACAAGGCCACACCTCCTAATCCTTCCCAAACAGTTCTACCAACTGGGGGGCCAAGCATTAAAAAATTTGAGCCTCTGGGGGCCATTATCATTCAAACTACTACAGGATCTCTACACAGGCTGGGTGCAATTGTTCTAGGGTCAGGACAAAGAGAGACTTACTGGAATAGAAGAGTGGAAGGGACTTCTATCTATGTCTTGTACCTTCATGGGAAAGGAATTTGCCAACCCCACTCCTGTTTGTCTGTCTGCCTGTCTGTCTGTCCAATGATCAGCAATCATCTGTCTGTGAGCTCATTAAATACATCCTGAATATTACCTCTTGAAGATTCGCCTGCATAGAATCTAGTCACAGGTTCAAACCCACAGCAACTCTGCAGACGGGAGAACCAAGACTTCTTCATAAAACATGCTATGGGGGAATATTTAGGTGGGGGCATTGTTTTTGTTTTATTCTACTTCCTTATTACCTGGCAAAACAATCCAGGCGGTGTGTGAGCCAGCAGTAGAGACTGTAAGGTCTGAGGAAGTAGAGCCGCCTTTACAAACTGTGGATCTCAATGAAGAAGCAGCCCGTCCCGAACCCACAGACGGAAAAGTTAAGGAAGAAAACAAACCCCGGAGGACCCCTCTGATGGCGTTTCTCAGACAAATGGTAAGCCACTTTCCGTCCATCCGTCTGTCTGTACAGAACCGACAAGCATCTCATCTTCTGATAGTAGGAGGCGGGTCCCTTTGGTCCTAAGGACTGCTTCTTGCTACTGCCCTTCAACTTGCGCTAATCCCCTTTTTAGTAAATTAGGAGGCTTTTGCTTGTAAATGTTGACAGCAGTATCCACCCACAAGTTGATTTAATCACTGGCTTTGCATCATACGTTTGCTGTTTGCTTCAGTTGTTGGTAAATGATAGTGCTTTCTCATTTTTCAAACGAGTTGTTTGCGTAAAGAAAATAAGAATATGTGGAGATGAAGATGGTTTGCTGCTTAAGAGCACATGTTGCCCTTGTGGAGGGCCAGGGTCCTGTTCCCAGTGCCCCCTTCAAGTGGCTCACAGCCCTCTGTAACTCCAGTTCCCAGAGATCCAGTGCCCTCTTCTGGCCTCTTAGAATACTGCACACACAGGGTGCACATACACATTTTAAAAATAATTTTAAAGAACATATAGATAAATTAAAACGGAACTTTAAAAACAATATAAGGCATTTCCTGGATTAAATACTGAATAATATGACTTATAGACAGGCATAGAGGTTTATATCTTTAATCCTAGCACTCAACAGGCTGGGGTGGATTCCAAGTTCAAAGCCAAACTGTGCTACACAGTGAGACTCAGTCTGCAAAACAAAAAAGGCCAGAACTATCTACTGAAATGCAGAAGTTCTGAGGGTGACAGATGAGATATGATCAGTCTAGGTCACTCAAATGCAGTAATGGTTGCCTAGTAGTCCTACAGTGGACATATACAGCTGCACAGTTTGGTTGATGAATTGGTCACAGTCTACATCCGTGTGGAACAGGAAGAATGTGGGAAGACACCTTTGGGTCCTGTGACTACAAGAAAACTAACACCAGCCGGGTGACAGAGACAAAGCCTGAGAGAAAGGTCTTCAGTTTAATTCTCTTTAATGAAGAACAAGACTTTCATCCTTGGCCTCCTCCATTTCCATATTTGGGAGTCTAATCGGTTTGGAAAAAAACTCCCCAGTTTCAGAAGCCTGTTAACAAGAGTGCAGCTGGGCGTTGGCTGGCGCACGCCTTTAATCCCAGCACTCGGGAGGCAGAGGCAGGCGGATCTCTATGAGTTCGAGGCCAGCCTGGTCTACAGAGTGAGTTCCAGGACAGCCTCCAAAGCTACACAGAGAAACCCTGTCTCGGAAAACCAAAAAAAAAAAAAAAAAAAAAAAAAAAAACTCAAGAGTGCAGACAAAATAAAAGCCAGCTAAAGCCCTGTGGTGGGAACTGAGACTTGGAAGCTATCAGCAGGGGGCGCTCTTTTCTCGTGGCTCCTAGAATGGAGGGTATAGAGGCAGCGGACAGCCTGAGGCTGAGTGCCTCCCCTCTCACTGCCCACTTGCTCTAAAAATGGGGTCAAGATTTAAGACTTTTAGGCCAGTGAGAAGGCTCAGCAGGCCAGGGCACCAGCTACAGGGCTTGGCAACCTGAGGTCAAGTTCCCAAACCTACATGGTGGAAGGAAAGGACTGCCTTTGCCCTCTGACCTCCATATGTGCCCTGTGGCATTCGTGCACATGTGCATGAGAGCATACATGCATGTGCATGAGAGTATACATACATGTGCATGAGAGCATACATACATGTGCATGCAACACAAAACCAGTGTGATTAAAAAATAATAATAAGATTTGAGAGCTTTGGGCCAAGGGGCAGTCTCGGTAGATAAACTCACCTCCTGCCCAAGGCTGATGACCCGGCTGCAGCCCCAGAATTTGTGTGAAACGCCAATGCAGTGCCACACGTCTGCCTTGCTAGTCCTCCTATGGGGCGATGCAAAGTGGAGACAGAATTCAAGATTCACGAGCCGGCTGGCCTGGTGGCCCCATCAGCAGCAGAGACAGCACAGTAGATGGCGATAATAGACTCCCAAAAATTGTGTGCCATTGCATGAGAGAGGCTGCTGCTCCCACCACACACACACACACACACACACACATAAATAAATAGATTACATAACAATTTTTGGAGAAAAAAAACAACTGAGACTTTTACATGACACCAGTAAACATATTTGGTCCATTGCTGGTGACTGATCTAAGTGATAAATGGGATTCCCAAATTCTTCATCGTAATGTGATGTATCCGTGTCTCTGGATAAAGCAGGGCAACACAGAAGAACCAGCAAATAGAATTAGCTCCTCTTCCAAATCTCCAGTGTGGCTCACTTCACTGAAGAAAGGAGAAAGAGACAAGAAACTCCAAACTCCAAAGCCATAGTCCACCTCCAGCAAAGCCTTACCCAGGGAGAGGTTCACACCGTGTGACTTCATGCCTCAGTGCTGTCTACTGTTTTCTGAGTGGTTGGTGAAAACTGGAGGCAGAGGAAGCCTTTGGAGCTGGCCCTCCCCAGGCGGCCCTTAGCGACCAGTGTGTTCCTTGCTCTTATCACCCACAAACTTCAACTATCCTTTTGTTTAAACCCAATCCGAGCTCTGGTGATTGCTGGATTCACCCCCAAGACTCCTGTTTTGTTTTCCTTAAAGTATGCTATCAGCATGGTGATCACCGCTGTGATGGACTCTGATACAGGAGATGAGCTTTTCTGGCGTTGCAACACTCCCCGAGACTCCAGGCATCTTGGCTCACTCCGGTTACATCCTGTCCCTGTGGGTATTGGAGGTGACAGTCCCGAGACAGTACCACCTCACCAGTTTCACGGCCTCCTTGACTTAGAGTGAATGACTTATCACCCTCAGAGCGGCCACTACTCTCTGATAATGATCGTTGAGTCCAATTTTTCCATTTTATTCATTTACTGTTCAACAAAGAGTCCCTGAGTGTGGAGCCGTAGGCCCAGCCCAGGGGAGGGGACAGTTAACACAGATTGTCCCATCCCCTCGGGGAATAAAACCCAGTGAAAGGGGCAAGACCGTCTTGCTTGACCTGCTCACACCCAGTGAGTAGCTCAGTAATCCCCACGCAGTCTGATCCCTTCTTTTGCCTTCGTGAAGGATGTGCATGCACTCAAAAAAACCTTTATTTTTCCTTTTATGTCAATTTATTTTGTATGCTGGGGATGGTGGACACATGTGGGGGTCAGAAGGCAGCTTGGAGAAAGAAGTCAGCTCCTTCCTTCCATCCTGTGGGTCCTAGGAACCAAATTCAGGTTGTCAAACTGGGTGGCAGGCGCCTATACCCGCTGAGCCACACCCTAGACTGGACTTGACTGTGTGTTAATGTCCCCGCAGGGGAGATCCCTGGAAGGTGGAGCCCATGGCTACTTTCAGGAAACTTTTTTTTTGTAGTGTAGTGTATTCCTGGCCTATAAGTTGACTTAAAAACATTTGAATCAAGGCAGGGGCCTGCCCTAAGGGATTGGAAAAAGACCGTGTGACTTCCCCTAAGGGTCTGAGCAACCTTCTAAAGCCAAGTAACTGGAAGCTTCAAACACAGTTTTCCATAATTAGAAAATCATAATTTTATTTAAGATAATTGATTTCATGGAAGAGCCAACAGCATCCAACTCCAGTAGCCAAAGAGGTGACTGCCAGCCTCTGTTTCCTGTCTCTTCCTTTCTGATGACACATCTTAGTGCTTTGTGGCAGAGGAATTCTTTGTTGACTTTTTTTTTTTCAAACAAATGCACTGTGCTGTTCATTTCATTGCTTTAATCATGTTTCTTTGGCTTTTTGAGACAGGCTTTTACTACAATGCTTGAAATTCACAGCGTGGCCCAATCTGGCCTCAAACTCATGGCAATCCTCCTGTCCCACCTTACCAAGTGCTGTGATTACAGATGTGCGGCTCCGTGCCCCACTTGGCAGTTTATTTCTTAAGAAACCATTTTTTGTTTCCAGAAATCAACCTTTCACAAATTGGAAGATCTTCATTTCTAATGTAACCATATTTAAGGTAAAAGAAAGTAGAGTTCTATAAACCCTCCCATGACATATCGACACAGATAGTTGACTAAACCACCAAAGTCCCACGGGCTCATTCAGGACTCCAAAATAGTTGCAAGGGACATCTAAGACATCAGCCCGTCAGAAAAGAGAAATGGATCCTTACATGTACTAATCAGCTAATGTCAAGAAATTGACTGAGATGCTAGTGTATTTTTATAGCATGCGTAGACAGAGGGCTGTGTTCAGGTGCCTAATCACCAAATACAGGCAAATTCAAAACCAGAAATGCGGGAGTTGGAAATGTGTGGATTTCAGATTTCTAATCTGTCAGTATAATAACACCCTGCTTTCGGAAAGCCCACTTTCCCTCCACACCGATTTAAACTACATTGTCCCATTTAATCCTCCTTGGGGGTCTTTCTCTGGCCCACTGGACTTATAAGAAAATCTTGGTCAGTGTGATGTCCTGGGGCTGAGGGGAAGACTTTGAGGTTTAATAGCAGGTCAGCTAAAGGAGACAGCCAAGAAATCTAGTTCCCTGTTAATTACATTCAATCTAATAGGCTCATAAATCTTTAAAAAGTAGTATTTGCAGGGGGAAAGGAAGATGGTTTGAAAGCAAAATTATAAACAAAATACAGAAGTCGTTAGGTCAAAGTTCTGGATCTCAAATTCCCCCTCGGTTAGTACAATATTAATAACGGGTGGTGAGGCTACTGCTTAGTGGTTCAGAGTCCTTAAGACACCAAGCTGGTTCCCAGCACGAATGTCAGGCAGCTCACAACCCGGGGACTCTGACACCCTCTTCTGGGTCCTGAGAACACCTACACACACATAAACACGCAAATAAATAAGTGAAAATAGAAAAAGATTCCTAAAGCCAGACCTCCCCAGCCATAATAAATGCTATTATTCTTCCGAGTGATCATCACAACTGAGTCTGGAGTGGGGTTGAGCAACTCACCCAAACCCTGGAGCAGACTTAGAGGTCCAAGTCAGGTGTTCCCGTTCATTCCATTTTTGTCATTTCTAGAGCTGCCCTTTGACCCGGATGTTACTGCTGCTTCCTGAGCAGT